CTATTCCATTTAATCCCATTCCCTGTTGGTTCTGTTCTATGTTCTATAGCAAAAACAAAAAAATATTTGTAGCCAATTTCAAATATGGTCACGACTTCGATAGGTATATAACATGTAATAACTGGAATAGTCATATATGGTAAAAGATATCCATTCTATCACATATATTCCGTTCGGTTCGCGTCAGATCAGTTAAGTTCTGGTAAAGACAGAATTTAAAGATACTTTGGTATTTTGTAGTGAAGACATTTAAACCTAGTAATCGTCCGATGGTGACACCGTGAATTATTGGCTTTCTTCTTCTAAGAGGAAATTTTTGCTATGAAATAATATATATCCAAACCTAAATATTTTGACACACTACTTAAGATGGCCTTGTTTTGGCATTATTGTTGACCTTTTATCAGTAAAGTCATACTGGGCGTACCGTATTTACTCGTTTAAGCGCCGCGGCGCTCTTTAAATTTTCAGAGCTTCAGGTGCGGCGCTCAATCGGGGGCGGCGCTCTTTAAAAAATATTTTATTTGTGAATTACGACAAGAACTTTTAACTATAAAATAGACAAGTTTTAAAAGGTTTTTGTCACTAAATGTTCCCATTTTGACGGCTGAAAATTTTTACACTGTTTAGTGCGGCGCTCATTCGGGGGCGGCGCTCTTTAAAAAAATTTGATCTCAAATGCGGCGCTCATTCGGGGGCGGCGCTCAATCGGGGGCGGCGCTCAATCGAGTAAATACGGTATATTTACAGCAAAAAAGCAAAACTACCCCTAGTTAAATTTTAAAAATGTTCGACCTGTTTATCAGGATTATAAATCACTTTTAAGAAAAGCAACTTTGCATTTGATGATGAATGGAGCTGTATGTGTTCTTACTGATCTTACACCTTTTAGATGGCGCAACTACAGAGATACCTTACTGGATTTCATCGAAAGGAAACCGCTTAAGAAAGAGCCAAGTACATTTGAAGCAAAGATCAAGAAACAACGCAGAGCATCGTGTGGATACGCACACAGCGACGCTTCCTCGGATGAAGAGCCCAGTACTCCGCGCAAAAAGAAAGGAAAAGATGGATATACCGCTGTCCCAACTACTGAGCCTCCTGACCTGGAAGATATATCTTTAGGTGATTCTGGATAACAATCAAGGAACATTGTTCCGTTGATCAGATGTAATGATGCAGTATATTTTTCTCCTCTATATTTTCAGTAGTTTTTCACATTCTAAATCGACATCCAAATGTAATAGAAGTAAATTAAGATAGTGATAAATTGTATGGAGTGTTATGTTGCCATCCGGTCGAGTTATCTACGATCTGATCTCTTCGGACTAATAAAATTCTATTGCTTCAAGACCAATATGTTGAAGGGTTTTGTAGATGAGAATTTCGACTGTAAATTTTACACATTTTTAGACCATCTGGCAGTAATGGGACCTGCTTGCCCTGCGATTCCGGTGCAGCGCTCTATAACCATCATCTCATTCTCGTCCCCAGAGTCATTTTCGCTTGGTCACTCCTTGAAAATTAGGCTCTGGGTTAGACGACCAAAGGGAGAAAAATTCGAGTGATGGAAAATTCGAGTGTACTTTATATTTTTTGACCAAACCAAGTTGCTTTTCGCAGCTGCTTCTGGTTTGGTCTAAAAATGTATAAAATCCATCTACAAAATCCGTCAATATTCAGTTATATCGAGCGAGATGCCCAACTCCTAATATTTGCCCATTTTCCTTCAAGAGCAATACATGTAAAATGTACTGTTTATTATTTCAAAGATTCGTCAAGGCCACTTACACTATAAGCTCATTTCATGCAATGAAAAGCAGAGCTCCTGCAGGGTTTTTATTCCACGGGAAATGCCTAATGCGCCCATGCATGCCTGTACATCTTTGGAGAGCGTTAAGTTTGAGGCACCACATTCCTTGTGATAGTAACGCCTAGTTTTAGTCTCAAATGTTCAAAACTGGTGCTTTCGTATTATGACGAAAATCAAGTCAACGATTCATTTGAAGATTTTAATTTGGTCATTTCGCTCGATAGAGCTGAATATCGAATGGTTTTTGTAAATGGAAATTACACGGCCAGACCGGTGAAATTGTTGAATAGAAAACAAAACGTTTGGGCTTCGAACTTATCTGACCGGAAAATTCAGATAAAATTAGAATGAGGTCCATTTTTGCTAGATACAGAGACAAAAATTCGGGTCTGCCCGGTCAGGCCATTAAATGGAAAGCGCCCCAATAATTCTAATTTACGTTGCGGTTAAATTTGAACTTACAGTTCATTTTGGATATCAATAGATTTCCAAGTATTGTTTGAAAGTGTTTTCTTAAAATACCAACTGAGTGTCTGAGATCTAGAAAGTATCCCGGGCCATGGAAAAATGGATCAAATTAGTTTTTCCCGATTTTTCATAATAGGAATTTACATTATATTACGCTAAAATTATAATCTACATTTGATTTGAATGTTTACATGTATTGTTCGAAGCTGTTACTCTAAAGTTACTTCAAATGCAACTTAGTATCGTTAGAACTATATATAATATACCATTGAATTAGATTTTGTCCACGCACGCTTGTATGCTGTACATTGTCGATTTCTAGAAAATCCTTAGAAAATCGCTCGCATCGGTTTCGCGGCCACATTTTGACGTCATATTAATGCCGTATTTTTCACTCTGAAATAGACTTGCCCCACGTCTCTCTCCCAGTGGAGTCGCACTATATTGCCACAGAATAGAGACTACACAGAAAGCAGACTTCTTGGATTCGCCTATGATTTTAGGCGTAACCGTTGCAATTTCCTAGCCAGTGCGCTTGCGATGGGCATTCATCCCAGTGAAAATATTCAAAATGTCGGACGTTGAGGGGGTGGGTGTCTCTCATAAGCACACTGGCTAGGAGCATGACGATTGCATTTTGATTTCGAATCGTTCTGAATGATGGCGTGCCGGCGGTTACGCTTTTTTGGCTGAGTCGACTTTCTGTTTGGTCTCGATTCTGTGATATTGCATGCAACGTCATGTACAACGTCATGTTTATGCGTAATATAGTGGGACTGCACAGAGATATGACATGCTTATTTTTGAAGATTCTATAATGCTGAATTATAGAAGTAATAGAACATGTGGTAAAACTAACGTGAATGCAAGTCATGTATGTCATGTACTGCACACTGTACAACCCGCTGTTAGATTGCACAGTACATGTGGCATACCCAAATCATCAACCAAATAATTCGTGTCACTGATTATAAAAGAAACTACCTGAAAAAGATAGAGCGTGAAACGTTTCCAGCAAAGGTTAGTGACTATACAGTATATTGAACTTTGAAATCACTCAAATTTATGAGCAAATTGACTCATTTTTTGAGTAAAGTAAATTTGAATAAATGTGAAATTTTACTCAAATATTGAGTACGTTTACTCATGAAACCTTTTGTTGGAATTTGCATGCTCTACGTTTTTCAGCAATTGTAGTTCCTTGAAGCAAACCATCCACATTCAAACATTTTAAATCTACAAGATGCTAGCGATTGTCTACGGATTTTCGGAAAAGCACAAAGACGCCATTCTTGCCAGACGCCATTCTTGTCTCTTGCCTGAGCCAACGAGATTGAGTTTGACAAAATCGACAAGATTTGCTTATCTTGCAAATCTTCATGGCTCCATATCTTCCATTGTCACGTCAGAATTCCTGGGGGAAAATCAAGAATAGAACATTTAAAATATTTCAAATAATTGAATAAAACATATACCAAAAGCGGGACGCGAGGTAAACAGGGTTTTTCATTAACCCTCTCGACACAATGTTACTCGTACTAATGTATTTGGAAGAATCTTTCCTACATATGGAACTCCATGCTACTAAAAATGGTCTGTCTCTTGGTGAATGAGATTAGGTCTTAACAGATGCAGGATTTCGCCTCCATGTGGTTAAGGGAATTGAAATGAAGGGGGTGCCTTCATTAGCTCTGGTACACAGCAAGCCTGAGAATAAGTGGCCGGACATAAACATTGTCTGACACAAAAAGGGTAAATGTCCGTTAAAATGCTTTTCTTGCCGGACAGTTCTGCCTGGTACACTGATAATGCTATAATTACATTGATGGGAAAGTGAAAGATATATACTTTGAATACATTTTGTTCCTTTACAAAGTAAGCAATAGCTAGCCATAGTGCACAATGTAATACAAATAAGACCATGAAAATTTCCTGTGAAAACTTCAGGTCACAACACAATTCGCTTAGTCTCTTTTTTCTTTTTGCTGGCCGCGGACACATGTGAATTATTTTTTTAATATGGCTTCTTACATTATTATAATATTACCACAACATTTGTGATGTCCAGCAGTGAGAAGTGTCAGTCACCACCCAATTGGTGCCTGACAAAATATCCGGCACCCATGAAAAAATATTTTTAGGCTTGGTAAATAGCCCGTGCAAAAATCCGATCATTACAGTAGATCACTGGATGGCACTATTTGTTTGCAAAGTGTTGTCCAAAAGACCCATTATGGAAGAACATGCCGGCCTACACAATCACTGAAAAAGCACAACCACCACGTAGTATGTGCTGATTATAAATGCTTATCATACGGATTAGGAATTTGGTGGTACAGGGTCTCACATCCATTTAAAAACGTCATAAATATAAAAGACATTGGACTTACTTAACACTCCCGTCTGCTACTTGCAAAGAAAGAGAGGTCAGTGCCGATACAGTCTCTGCTTCTTCTTCTTCTCGTATCTTCCCCTCGAGTATGGAATATTGTACTTGATTCTGAGTGCGTTTCAACGAAGTCCAATACTTGCTATGGACGGCTAATACTCTTTCTAATGATTGGATGGCGTTTCCATTTGGACGATTGCGTAGATGTTCTTCTGACAGTTGAGGTAACTATTTGGGGAGTGATAAAATATTCATATTGTAAGTGTAGAAATGGGCTAATAATATGTGTAATTTTTTTGTGTTTGTTGGTGTTATGTACTCAGGTGAATATGATGTTTGCGATGTTACTATTAGTGTGCATCCACACCGGGCAAGCTGAAAAGTTTGCCTGACCACGGTGGGAATCAAACCCGCGACCTTTGGGATACTAGTCCAATGCTCTGCCAACTGAGCTACAAGATCAAGTCGGTTCGAGTTTCGAAACTGAGTCTAGTTCCTTCGATATCAATGTATTCTAACAGTTCCGAAATATCACTAACTCGAACAGACTTGACCTCGCGCGTAGCTCAGTTGGCAGAGCATTGGACTAGCATCCCAAATGTTGCGGTTTCGATTCCCACTGTGGTCAGGCAAACTTTTCAGCTTGCCCGGTGTGGATGCACACTCAGAGTAAATCAGAAACACGATATGTGTAATTGTGGTGCAAATTACCAGACTGAAACTGTCAGCTTGAGTATTATCGCAATGTCAACTCTTGACTTCCAATGAGTTGCATTACACTTTCAATCAAATATCTATCTCAATGAGTTTATAAAAAAATCTCAAATCTGATGGCTAAGGGTAGTGCAAAATTATTGAAGCCAAAAAAACTAGATCTAGTGCAATTCGGTGTAAATATTCGAACTATGGATGTAGGTAAAATTTGATTTAGGAAACAAAGGTTTCCACGGAAACAGCTACGAAGGTTTTGAAACATCTAAACGTATACTTGTGAAAGGAACAAGAAAAGATAGGCTGCATAAAAGAACTATAGTCATTGGTGCGGATGTCTTTTTGGCTTATATATAATGAAACAATTATTGAGTTTGGTTTTCGCATAACACGAAGAAGCATAAAGCTCTTAGTTTATGTTATCAATCTCAGCCTTCGGCTTTGGTTGATAAAACGAACGTCCAACTTCATCCAATAATTGTTAAATATCATACGTGCCTACAGTAGAGTCGGTAGTAAAGTGGAATTGGTGACAATATAAATGATTGAGAAACTTTACCTCATCCCCAAGCAGTGCTCTCATGCAAGCCTCAGCCGAGTCACACAACGAAGGTAAGGAATATCTAAACAGAAGGAAGATTTTAACATTATTATTAAAATTATTAAAATGCGAACAGCCAACTGTTAATTATAAGACACCTTTATTGCGTTTACTGGATACAAAATCGGAACACTTTTAGACCGTGGTACCGTTAGTGATGTAGATGGAAAATTATTGCACAATTGACGTCGATCTTCATCTATCATGTATTATACAGTACAACACGAAAGAAACTACCTTGCGTAATTTGGAAGTTTCATGTTATATGTAAACAACGAGTTTGAGTGTTTCATCAGGGGATCCAAACACGAGAAAACTGTATGAAACACGAGCGCGAAGCGCGAGTGTTTTATTGTTTTCGAGTGTTTGGTCCCCTGATGAAACACGAGAAACGAGTTGTTTTCACAACATCTCAAACGAAAACATTTCATTGGCTTATATATATTATTATAGTATATTGTTGTGTTTTGACTTGAATTTGTAATTAGGATCTCACTTATTAGATGAAAACCGTTTTTCATCTAACAACAGTGATGGTATATGATTTTTAGCGTGTTTCCTTGCGGTATCCAACCTCAATCATGTGACGAATTAGGGTGAGTTCATTCGCTAATTTGCTCATGAATTATTAATGAGTTTGAGATGGTATGAGAAAATATACACAATCAAGAGTTCAAACTTGGTTTCTCCGCCTAAGCGTTTAACTTGGGCAGATAACAAAAAGTCAACCATGCTTAAATTTATCCCATTTCTGTGAATAATTCCATCAACGGAGGGGGAGGGGGGTCCTCGCATTTAACTTACCCTCCCTCCAGAGCCAATACAATTTGACCATCAGCGACTTCCATCAGCTGTCGCGTCATGTTTGCAAAACCTGAAAATGACAATACATGAATTGAACATGGGCATTTGAATCAAAATGAGCATGAACGAAGAGAATGATTTATATATTTAACAATATTTTACATTTTACAATGAACAAGCTTTCATTGGTAGGGATGCAACTACCTGAAAAATATCCTTATATATTGGCACTACCTACACTGGCACAGTGACTGTGCCATGTTTAATCTCATACACTATAGATATACATTCATTAGTGTCGATCAAAGTATATTTGCTAAAGTACCTAAAGGCTGGTTTACACTATCAAAGTTTCTGTGATCACAGGAGGGAATTTTGCATAGATAAATTCTAACTTGAAGAATTTGTAAGAAATCTTTGAGGGAACTGACTCGGTATATTAAACAGCGAGTCAGTTCCCTCAAACATTTCTTCAACATTTTTCAGAATTCCTACTGTGATCACAGAAACTTTGACAATGTAAATCAGCCTTAAGGATTGATCTTACTTACATGCAGCGGAAACATCGTAACCGCCCAATTGAGGTGAATGTCCACAAGCAGCATCAAAACCGGCAGAAACAAGAACAATATCAGGAGCGAATTCTCTTGCTAATGGCATAACCACGGTCCTAGAAATTCAAAAACATGAATGAACCTTATTATGTAGTCAAGTTTAGGACATTGTGCGAAAATATTATTTGTAATCTTACATGACAAAACATCGTACACCAATTTCAAGTTCACTACAGTTCATTGCTGTGCGAGAACTTATACAACGAGTCCAATGAATTTTAATGAACTTGACATCGAACCGTCGTTCAATTAATATAAATTTGTCATCGCTTTCATTTGCGTCAGAATGTATTTCGAAAACTTTTGAAAAAATATCAGAGTAGAACCACGCTGGGGAACATGAGCCGGAAAGAACATGAAAATATCATCTGTAGTTGGATCATCATCAAGTTGAAGACATAGGTTTTATGGTTGGAAAGAGTTCTGCTGAACCCAGTTTGAAGTTGCACTTGTTACGGCTTGAAATACATGCAGCCGTTGTATCAAGACGTGAAAATCTGTGATTTGGCGTTGTAAATAGAGCGAGGATAATGTCTAAATTATTCATATATAATTGTAATTATTCAATTATTTTCAATGCTTTATTGTATTGGTAGCCGTTGCCGTCGCGTTACCGTCCTAAATCTTAAGGTCTCTAATATCATTTGATGACAACGTATGGTAAAGGGAAGGTATTCTACATCTTATAGCCACTCCGAAAGAACATGTCATATTAAAGACCATTCTTAACTTACCTAAACGCTGCTAGATACTCAGCATCTCCAAACATGGGATCTGTGAAAGACAGAAAAAATTATTTGAACAGTGTGCATGGGTGTCGATGGGTATACGAAACGAACGAACGACAAACATTTCGTTTGCTGTCAGAAATCAGCAACAGGACTAGGAAGCTTAAATGCAGGCATGCATTCGTCGATCCTACGTAGTTAACTACATTTTTCTTTTGAAATTCTTGCATAGGCAGATCATGAAATGAATAAAACCTGGTTTCCATTTGGTCATAACTGTCGTGACCCAGACATCTCCGACTATGTGAATAGCACGTCTATTGTATTGATGATGAGATTTTGGACATCTCGTTCGATGGAACTAATAGTATGGGTTTTTGTAGATGGAATTTTCGAATGTTATTTTCGAATGAAATTTGTATACACTTTACAGTAGACAGCACCAGGAGCAGCTACGAAAAATGCAACTACAGGCCCTCCGCATGGCAAAACCGAACCTGAGGCCGTGCGATTCCGATGCAGTGCTCTAACCGATAGAACTACAGAGATCAGTTGCTGAGCATTAACCACAGATTCACGTATATATAATGAAGTGCATGGTGCCAATAGAAGTGGGCTGCTCGTTCGATAGAACTAAAGAAGATGGATTTTTGTAGTACTGTATTCAAACCGGACTTTCCTGACTTACATGTATGTAGAGATAAATCACCACACTATTACATATACTAGCTTGGCGTGCTCACGACAATTACGTTACAATTGGGAACTAGGCTAAAGACTAAACTTTTACGGCTTCTGTCGGTGTGGAAAGAGTAGATCGGCCGTAAAGGCGTAAATTCCACTCAAGTACAATGAGTAATTCTTCTTACCCAGGCCACCATTCCAAGCAATGTTCACATTGTAACCAACACCAACTCCAGCTCCGCACTGAAAAAGAGCAAAGAAGAATAAAATGATCAGTTAAGGGAAATAGCAATAAAAATTAAGTTTCTCCCATTTGGAAGAGGAATTCAATGTACTTCAAAACCTTTTTACAGATTTTCTATACCGTTCTTGGTATAAAAGATATTACATGCATGTACACTTCATTTCAAACAAAATCGTTATGCATTCAGCCATTTTGGGTTTGCATTTTCCTTTAAATCAGGTCTTGTTATTTCTATCGCCGAATTATTAGTAGTCATTTGTTTGTTTGCTATAAAATAATACAATATTGCTATCAAATACATAGAAAATGCTTTACATATTTATGTCTCGATCGTGTCACGCAATCATTTTGACAGCTTTAAATGACAGGATTAAATTGAATGTTTTACGATTCTAGTTATTCTCACATCGACAGAAATACACTTCGCATTGTTGCAATTACTCTCATAATAATATACATGAAAAATTACTCCATTCTGATTGGCTAAGAGGAGTGTAATTTTATCGAATACAGAGCCAAAAAAAGAAATACGTGCATGGCAAGCGCAGCATTAATGACAATTGTACTTAAATTGACAATATTTAACTATTATTTTGTGATTCTCAACCGTCTGATAGATTTAAAACGGTTGCTAACTGCATGTGTAAACTACAAAATTAAAAAGAAAATGCCTCTTTAGCCTGTGGTGTGGTTTCTTGTCCAATTGGGAAAAACAAACACATTTTCAAAGACTTCAGACCTCGTGCAACTCTTTGATCGTCTTTGAAAAACACACTCGTGCGTGTTTTGTCCAAATTGCACTGGAAACCATACTATTACCTATACTAATTAGGAAAAGTTGAAAGAAAATAGAGAATTTTGAATTTAACGAGTGTTGCTTACCTCCTCTGGTTTTCCGGTGCCAGGAAAGAACGTGCCGTCATCATGACGATGCAATGAGATGTACAGAACGTGCGGATCATCATAAAACATTTGTTGTGTGCCGTTGCCATGGTGAATATCCTAAGAAAACAAATAACACCTGCTATAAATAACGGCTAAATTGTTAGAATTACCTCATCAGTGGTATCACAAATATTGCCATATTGGGCAATTACGTTTGCAACATATGCCCACCTTTGTAGCTTGAAATCTTAGTTCTCTAAACTTTTTTTCCTTAAATTTCATGCAATATATAGCTTAGTTTATAGCTTACCAATGCTTTCATCGTTCAAAAATTAGTGTTACATTTTCCCTAATCCCTACACAGTTATCATTCAAAGACTTTCAGAAATTATCGAGGGGCGCCCCCCCCCCCCTCCCCCTGTGTCCGCCACTAATTACCTCATAACAGCAAATAAAGCTAACACTGACAATCGGATTTTTTACAGCAAGATGCATTTCTGCTGGTGCTTTACTTACGGCGAAATGCCAAAAATTTCGCGCGGCATGAATTGGCTGCATGCGAAATAAAGGTACAGTGTAAATTAGGTTTCACTTTGGCCATGGTGAATGAGACTTTGGGCTTGACTACTGTATTCGGGGTGTCATAGTACACTAAAGGTTACTGTATGTTTAAACAGGGATTTTCATTGCTGTTAGACACACTGATAAGTTAATCGCATTGAATCATTATTTAACATAGTTAATCCCCAGAAAGCAACGCCCATTGTTACGGCAATCTTCATGACGAACAAATACAGCAAATAAATTCGAAAAACGTCCGTAAATCGGCTGTTCGAAAGCTGGTTATTAACTCAGAGTTAGTGCATGAATGGAGCCGCAGTGCATTTTGGAAAAGCTTGTAATGCTGACACATTAGTCTAAGTAATAAATCCTTCAGGAAAGTCCGTTACTTCGGTTATAGAGCCTCGTTTTCGTGTGTGTGACATTAAGTAAACACTTCAAACATACCCAGTCAATTACGAGGACTTTTTCCACTGACATTCGCAACCGAAGTAATCTGGCTGCTATTGCGACAGAGTTGAAATAGCAAAAGCCCCTAAAAGAGAAACAGAACATCAACATGACCATTTATGTCACTCCATTATTTTTATAGTCAAGTGACCGCAATGATATAAATGAATAGGCCTTTCCCAAAGCTCTGACATTGATATAAATTAAAAGGCAAAACTTTTCAACCGTTTTCACTAAAATTATTCGAAATAAATAAGTTACAAGAAAAATATGTGGTTGTACATTCTTTCTTACACGAATAGGATAAACTTGGGCCGTTATTACTCTTTAATAACAGTCAAATTCGCAACAATTCTCCAAATAAACGAAACTCCTAATAGTAAAAAACCTTGAAACATTTCACTTTCATGAAAAGAGTATTTTGTTTTATTTTGTTATGTCAACTGTGAAGTCACACTTCATGGCCTTTCTAGAATTTCGTTTCTAAAACCAGAACGGAATTAACATCCACGAAAAGAGAGTCGAGCTTCAAATTTTGGCAGATTATTTTGTCAGGATAAAGTTGGACATTCTTTTCAATGTGTAGTTAATAAGAAAATACAAATTGGTACATTAGTTTTAAATACTCACATGGCCTGATGGGCTTCCGCGTGATGTCCAGGCGGACGAACAACTGCGAAGCCATTCTAAAAACAAGATATATTAGCTGGGGATGTTGATACGATATAACTGTATGAACACTGAACAGATACTGTATAATATTCATGTATGGTAATATAGCAATATATTTATAGAAGCAGTCATTTAGAAAACTGAAAATTTTACATTTAGGGTGCAATAATTCAAGATTTTTAGTCGTATTTGACTGGCACTGGTTATTTCCGCGTAATTGAGATGGTACAAACATTAGAATCAAGGTGTACTTAATTTTTAAAAATAAAGTATATAAAGTACAAGGTATTCTCATTCAGTAACTTGAAACTACGAGTTATAAAAAGGAGCACAATTGCACATATATGCACCACAATCGTCCAACATTCTTTAGTGATAGTCCCATCAGTCCGATCATGTTTCGTGCAAAAACATGTCAAATTTACACATATACGGACTTAATTACGGTAAAGCGAGCAAATAGCAAAAGTTCCGCGTACCTGATACGTACGGTACGTGACTGAAAACAAAGAAGTTCTAGACCGTAATATTGGCGTATCTCCGGTACGCAAATACGCAAATGATTGCACCCTGGACATTAGATAGCTTAAGATCTATACGACGCCAGCTAGGACGTCAGGGCTGAGCAGAGGAATGAGACTATGACGTCGTCCTAAATAAACATCCACTTAAGACTCACGGTGTCGACCTTTAAACTATAAGTATTTACATCCTTTTGAAAATGAATTTTATAAATATATGCTCTTGTAACCACGACGGAAAAACTCTTGTTGTGAAGTTGTCGATGTTTGGCGGACGACGAGCAAGTGACGTCCTAGCTGACGTCGTAGATCTCAAGCTGTCTAATGTCAACTTCCGCCCCGTTTAAACTAGTTCAACATCGCACAACATTGTTGGGAAATGTTGCGGAAGCGTGCTCGACGATCACGTGTAATCGTCAAATGTTGCACAATATTGGATGAAAATTTTAAACAAAGTCAAACCCGATTCAACATCTTCCAACATCATCCAAAATCATACCCAACATAGTGTTCACACGAGGCGAACATGTTGGATGCTATTGGATGTTGGACCAACAAGTTGGCCTCTTTTGAAATAACATGTTGGCAACTTAAATTTGAATGCTTGACGAAGTGTCGGGCGCTCAAGTGTGAATGTTATGAGAAAACTAACCTTCAGATCACCAGATGCAATTTTATATGCAAGTTCAGTTACACAACCCACGGCCTGTAATGAATTAAAAGTACTGGTTATAGCAAGTTTAACTCCCACCTGAATTCTACGACAACACAATTGTCTAACGAAGTGATTATGTTGTATTTTTATGTTGGTTAATAATGTTTGTGAAATAGAGTTAAAGTACTGTGCCATGACTATAGAGATTTAAGTACGTTTATTATTTCGATACACGGTTACCGAAAGGCGGCTATCATGTATATGAGTTTAGGCGATATCGCGTGCCATCTTTCCCTCCCTCCCCTTTTTCAAGGAGGGTTAGGGCGATGCAGGCATACGAAGAGCCTGGTACATTGCTGATGTACATTGCTTACTGATAAATGGAACACGAGAATGCGGAGAACATAAGAATGCGGAGAACATAAGAAAGTGCCAAAGCAGTGGCGGAAATTCACTTTTTCCGGTGTGTGTGTGTGTGCGGGGCGAAGCCTTCCAAATTTCCGACAAAACTTTCAAATTTCCGACACCCCCCCCATTTGCACTCGAAAAGGTTGTTTTTAGCCCTCTTTTAGGTCAAAATTTCCGAAAATTCTTCATTTTCCACGAAGCCCGCCCCACCGAGATTTCCGCCTGTGCAAAAGACTTACCATCCTGGCCGCATTTGCACTATGTGCTTCATTCCATATCGTATCAGCATCAACACCCAAGCCAGTGCAACCAAGCGTTGTAAAACACTTTAAGGTCGTCATATCACCTACAGAAGAGAATGAAGATTTCTGGTTAAGAATGGGAGAATCGAAGGGATATATTTAAAGTTGAGTTTTAGTTACAGGTTCGGTAATAGATCCTTTACTGATAGAACATTAGATTCCGACGAACAACTGGATATTTCACAATTTTGAGTACGATTGCAAGAGTTTACATATACATACCGTTTTCTCCTCTGGATCTCAATTGGGTGCTTCCACCATAGAGCATGGTATGTTGTTCACTGCAATCAGAGAACAATATATTTAAAATCATTACCACTGAATGACTACTGTGTAAAAATTAAACATATGTACTTTTGCTCATGTGCCTATGATCAGAGAGAGAGCGCGTAATGAAATTTTTAGTTTGTGATCCCGCGGGCCGAGATGTTGAGGCAGGATGCGTGTATTGCAATAAGTCACGGTGCCTGATTCAGCAAATTTAATGTTCAGTTCAAGATGATAACAATCATTCGTTGAAAATCACACCCTGGATTAGACAACAAAAAGGGAGATGTCTGGCCGGTTTCTCAGAGATCGAACCGCTAATTACAGGAAGTTGGGCAATATTCGCCAGGCAATTACCGGAAGTTGGGCAATTTTCGCCAGGCAATTACCAGAAGTTGGGCCATTTTCAAAACATGTCAACACAAATACTTCGTTTCTTCCTAATACTTCCGTTTCTCGTCCTATATGAATTCACAAGCATGCGCATTAGAACGACCGCAAGTTTTTTTAAAGGGCCGATAGAGACCTTACGATTTTAGGACGGCAACGCGACGACGACGGCCAAAACGAACTCCTTCAAATAAATGGTAGTAAAGATAATTCGTCGTATATTATCAATCGTACGAATTTAATACAGTCTTAGAAGTTGAAGACATGGGTTTTATAGTTGGGAAGAGTTCTGCTGAACCCAGTTTGAATGCACTTGTTGCGGCTTGAAATGCAGCCGTTGTATCAAGACGTGAAAATCTGTGATTTGGCATTGTAAACAGGGCGAGAACAATGTCTAAATTATTCATATATTGTAATTATTCAATTCTTTTCAATGGTTTATTGTATTGGTAGCCGTTGCCGTCGGGTTACCGTCCTAAATCGTAAGGTCTCTAATGAAGGCCGCGCGCGAACGAGAGGTCCAGAGGACGGAGATGAATAATTAACGAGCCATTTGCTTTTCCAAGTACTGGACATAAAAAAAGAACATTTATAGTATAGCATTATTGTATTTTTCGCTTACCTATGAACAGTAAGGATTTCTGCTAATGTTGCCTTTCTAGACCTAACTCGCTGGAAAGATAAAACGTAACGGATTATGACAATAAACAAAAACAGGAAGGAAAACATCATGTGATCTGAGGTAAAGTGCAGTGCAGTACAGGACTTGCGAATTTCATTATGAATTTTTTAAACTTAGCAACGAATTTGAAAATGCAAAATTCGAAAAAATTTGTCAACAAACTTAAGTGTGTATGTATACGCTACCTCGCATCGTGACACGACCCCAGTCTCTTGCAACCTCGCCCAAATACTCTGCAGTCTACCAGGATGTTCCGGGTGTGAGCTGACATCACCACACGTACACTGATGTTTCAACATTAAAGTATCATACACAAGGCCCGTAGTGGCTGGTTGTCCAGCAATACGACCAACGACGATCGGTGACGAATGCGCGCGCGAGAGCGGCCGATGTGCGGGAGTGTTCGAGTCGTGCGCAGGCGCAGTGGGTTGAAGTCCGTGTACCCGCTCAGGAATCATATGTTGCATTAACTTGTGTTGTCGTTTAAATTGATCCATTACGGCATTTGCTTCTTGATCTTCGCTTAATACTCTTTGCTTTTGTTGTAATAAAGCTAAATGTTCGTTCTGTTGGGCCTCTAGGCGTTCTTTCAATAGTTTAGAATCTTTTTCAGCTTGTAATTTAGACTGATGTTGTTGCATTAAGAGTTGTTCGAACTTTTGTTGACCTAGTTGCTGCCGCAAGAGTTCATGTTGTAACGCTTGTTGCTGTTGCAAGCGCAGTAGTTGTTGTGCTTGGTGCTGTTGCTGTAACAGTAATTGTGTTTGTTTTTGAAACTGTTGTTGCGCATGTAGGTTATTGGGTAATGATAGTCCGGGAGCCGATTGCGTTTGACGTAGGGGTCTGTGTCGTTTTACCGTAGTACTGCTGGGAGGAGATAATTGCGGGCTTCGGCGAAGCGGGTTAGGTTGTCCGCTTACACTAGCACCACCGTTAACAGCCATAGCGCCCGCGCCTGCTTGGGCGCGTAACTGAGCCTGCGTAAGAGCAAATGCCTTGAGTTGAGCATGGCGTAGAGCTGCTGCATTCACTCCATCTTCAGTCTCCTCGTCAATACCTTCTGAAAGTACTTGGCTTAGCATTTGACTTTGAAGTCGATTGTGAAATTGTCTTTGTTCCTGGTTCTGTGGTAGCATGCCAGCCACTAGGGCGGAATTTAGTAACATTTGATTCAATTGAGCTTGGTCCATATTTGCCGCACCTGGTATGCTCTGCAAGTTAGGAAGACTACCAGCGCCAAAGGAGATAGGAGTGCCCTGTTTGATTAGAGAAAAAGAAGCGTCAACTTTTAAGCCTTTAGTTTTAAGCATTCAGCAATAGAAAAGGTAATTAAGAGAAACATATTTAGGGAAATTAAAAGGGGAAATCTTCAATACATCATATGAACCATTTTAGGATCTGCGGAATGTAGAATAAGTCATCACATGGTTTCGAATGCACTTTGGAAAAAGGTAAGTGCGAGATCTTTTAAAAACTTACGAGTGCTCATTTTTCAAATGGAACGAGAAACGATACTACAACAGTACTTTTTAACAACATAAATGAAAAATTTATACTTGTGAATTACACCACAGTGCAATTTCAAAGGAATCGGCACGTCTCGGCAGATCATAATTGAAAATGTTTCATGCATATTTTAAGATATAAAACTTACACAACACAGATTTTCTTCAGATACTGTGATGATGGCCCTTACTGAGCCACTTAAAAGAAACGGTTAGAACTGATACACCTATAAGTCTGGTAAAGCTATCTATAGTATAAATACGGTTAAGGGCTGAAGAAGCGAATTATGCTTATTACAAATTATGCATTACACACGTAAAGTTTCCTATCTGCTTCGGAGTCATGAAATTTAGCATCGAGGATCACGATTATGGACAATACACACGCAGATAAGGTGCGACATAAAATCTAGTGACGATTTATGTGGCAATGTATTGATCCGCATTTAAGGAAAGGCCGGATTTTGGTGGAAATTCCGGGACGAGGTAGAAAAAAATTTAGGCGAGGTGCAGCAGTCTCGCCCACAGCTTCCCTGGGATGGTTAAAAAAGGACTATTTTAGAACGTACCCCTGAAGTAAACTACGTGATCATGATGTATGCTATACATAATGATTATGATTATGTGCTGTACATAATATCTATCAAATGAATGTATTTAGGAATTATGGCTCTATTACTCGTCCAATTTCGTCCCTTGTTCCAACTGCGAAGTTTCATTCGAAACATTGCATTAAAAAATGTAATTGGCACAGAGATGAATGAGAACTTTTTCAATTGTATATGAAAAACGTTGTTATGCTACGTGACATGGTAAGTTTGAGTCAAATTTTGACTCTGATCCATCATTTTTTAGGGGAGGTGCATGAAATTACAGCCAAGATTTACCCCTATCTTGCACTTCAGCGCAGAGGCGTTATGAAAAAGAAGTCAGTACTCAAAGTTAAACTAACTACTCACATATGGAATTCCAACAGCCGTCACTTTGCCATAACGAATGTTTGGTAATGATTCGGACGGTGTGAGCACGCGTGTCTCGTGCGGTGTAGGAGGAGTTGTCCGATCCTGAAAAATAAAAAGTTGTTAGAAATTTCCATATTTACTGCATGAAGGACAGTCTTGCTTTGGATAGAAAAGGTTTAACCGAAAGCCAGTACTGGTGAAAAAACAAGTTCCTGATATATAAACCATACTTGAAACCATGAACCAAAATGACAGAGACAATACAGCAACGGTAATGAAATGGCAGCAAAAAAGGAACAGTAAGAGTACTAATTATAACAGCGACAGTGAAAACAGCTGTGATAATAGTAACAGTAACAATAGTGACAATAACAGCAACAGTAACAATGAAGGCTGTTGTTGCATAGGTAAATTCTAAGTTTTGACGAATTTTGGAAGATATTTTTTAGGAAACGGACTCGCTGTTTAATTACTGATTCAGTTCCCTCAAACATTTCTTACAAATCCTTCAAAACTTAGAATTTACCCATGCAAAATTCCTACTGTGATCACAGAAACTTTCATTGATAGTGTAAACCAGACTTAACACTGACAATAAAGCTCTGGTCAAATTAGGATGAGAGTTGATGAGAGTTGGGGCGCTTTCCGTTAACACGGCCAGACCGGTTAGAACGGTCAAATGGTTGAATGGAACACAAAACATTTGGGTTCGGACCTATCTGACCGGAAAATTTAGATAAAATTAGAATGAGGTCCATTTTCGCTAGATATTTGAGAAATATAGACCAGATCTTTCCATTGATACAGAGACAAAAATTCAGGTCTGACCGGTCAGACCATTGAATGGAAAGCGCCCTTGGTTAGCGAGAGTTTGCATGAGAGTCTTCTCTATCAGTTCTCATGCCTTGGTCAAACGAGGACAAGAGTGCATGCAAGGGTTGCTTGAAAAGTTCACAGGCTAGGATATTACCGCGCGTATAACCATCAAAAAACGGGCGAAAACTTTGTTATATACTCTCGTAAAATTTTGAACGATCTCAAAGAGGATGAGAGTTGACGATAGAGCATGGAAGCTGGCGGTGAAACGCGAGCGAGAGCTGTCTCATCAAACTCTCAACCTCGTTTGACCAAGGCTCAACAATCACAATAACATGCAGTAAACGTTACAGAAACATATAACAAGCAAGCAATAGCAACACGCAAATAGAAATAACAACAAAAGTAAATGCCAGCAATACGACAAGTTAGACATTAAAAGTAACAAACCACGAGCAGTAACAATAACACAGATGACATACGAAATGTAAAATGCTCACAAGATTTGAGGTCATCTAGCGTGTGCAAACTCTTTGCAAACGATACAAATTGACTACGCATCTAAAAGATTTATAGTAGCGAACCTGGATGAACCGTATTCGTAACCACATCTGAACATTGGCAAAAATGGAATTGTTATACTTTTCCTTTTAAAAACTTCACTGTACGATAATACCAATATTCATGAAAGTTGAAGCAAAGGATTTCCACTCAGAAGATATAGCATTGCCATTCATATCTGGTCATTGTTTTTGAACTACATTGTTTATCTCACAACAGTATATTGTACTATTTATAACAGTTATGTTCTCTTTATTTGTCTTAAAGTGGGTGGATATCCCAGGTTATATACAAAAACACTATATTATTACAGATAGTTTGATAAGATAGTTTGGGCATATGCTTGGTTTGAAAATAGAAAGACGTTCATCACTACTGATAAGAACCATGTATACACATACATTGTAGTCACTGTTGATGCGGCGCATACACTCAAACAGTATAGATTCCAAGAAATGCCAAACAAGTGAATTCAGCCCAGAAAGATATGGGGATAATCCTCAACTGCCCACCGCCCTTGCACCTCTATTTAGGACCATTGTAACTTATAAAGTTCGACTCTACTTTGCAAAGCAAACAGCAGCACGGTGCACAAAGATCATAACGTCCTTGAGAAATGCATAGGCGCATTCACTTTTTGACATCATACTCTTCAATTTAAAATTTTGCGTTGGGTTGTATTATATAAACGTGCATAAATCATCATCTCTAATTATTATATGGCAAGCATCTGTATCACTTCCGGTAAAATGGCAGACTGTGATTGGCTGAGAAGCACTTTCAGCGCTCCATTATTTTCCCGTAATAAACAAATACGTGCATTTTAAAACAAAACAGCAAAACTAATGGACCTTTCCCCTTATAACTAAAATTTTGATCTAGACAAAAATTTCATCACAGCTTGAAAGAGCATCACAAAATTAGTAATATTCCAAAGTTTCGTTGCGAAATGTTGTAAAATGCGGATATAGCCTTTCGAAATCTGCCGTTTTTCAGTCATTTTGTATTACGCATGGGAAATTGACAGCCCAATCGGGTGTTGGGGCATCAATTTCCCGTTTGTAATACAACATGACTGAAAATTGCAAATTTCGCAGGGCTATACTATCCGCATTTTACAACATTTCGCAACGAAACTTCGTAATATTACTAATTTTGTTTTTTTTTTGTTTTTTTTTTATATTACTAATTTTGTGATGCTCTTTCAAGCTGTGATGAAATTTTTGTCTAGACTTGTCTAGATCAAAATTTTAGTTATAAGGGGAAAGGTCTATTGAAAATTTGTAAATTATAATTTAATTTGTTATTAATAAGATATCTGCGAATGGGAAAGTGGAAAGGAAGAAACACATTGGTATTTTTTTGTTTTCTTTGACCAAATGTGTACCACGCTACTAATATGCATTTCAAATCATGCATTTCTTGTTTGTTTCAAGTATAAATGCCATATAATAAACTTTTTATTAACCTCGCTTGCTCGGTATGTACAGATAAATATCGAAACTCGGTCCTTTTGTACAAACCTCGCCTTACGGGCTCGGTCTATACAAAAAAGACCTTGGTCTGATATTTCTCTGTACAGACCTCGCGTTCGGTTAATAAGAAGTTAATAATTTGTGATAGCGGTACTGGGCGTTTCTGTTTCAAATCATCTATACCGCCATGCTTCTGTTCGTGAGCATTTGACAGCCTGGCACTATACAACTTATATGAACTCAATATTCACACTGCATGCCGATTACAACTCAGATATGGTATATTTGTAGGTTTTACAACTATGCATCTATACATGCAGGGTGTCCCCCAAAGAATGTCCCCTATCATATTTTGTGGTACTACACCGTTACCTGTGATTGAATATTCAAATTTAAAATTTTTTTATCAATGAACATATTACGTTAATCGTTGCATTATTTCGCACCAAAATATTTAACCGTTCGCCTTCTATAGTTACTTAAGGTGGCGACACCAATATTGCCACTTGTCCAAATTGAGGATATTAGGTTTAAACATATTACGGAACGTAATAAAATATTTTAATTGTAAATGGCTACATATCTTTTCTAAAACTTGTAATTAGTTGTAGCCAAAATCGCAAATTAATTTTCTGTAAAAATAATGAAGCAATCCCCAGAAAAGGGGAAAGACTAGTGCTGAAATCCCAACATTTGCTCTTTCATGGAACAAATTGAACGGAAAACAGCAAATTTAAGGCATTTTCCCAACCTTAGCTTTGCCTTTGTCAATTTGCCAGGGATTTTTCATCTTTTTTTTTATTAATTTCTACACGAAACAAAAGTTTAATAATAGAGATAAAAAACTTTTTTTTGAGCAGGAAGGTGGGTAGAAACTTTAGAAATCCTTCTACAAAGTTTGCATTATTTTTAACCTAATTTCTGTAATTTGGACGGGTTGCAAAATTGGTGTCGCCACCTTAAGTATCTCTAGAAGCCGAACGGTTAAGTATTTTGGTGAGATAAATACTACGA